TCCCCCCCCCCCCCCCCCCCTCAAATAATCATGGATAAGCCCCTGTATGTCATCCACGCATTAAATTTTCTCGATTGCTTACAGAGGTTTACTGGAAATACATAACATGGATTATATAAGCGGTACCTCGTCAATCTTGTAAGGTGAACAAACGACGAAAAACGTTCACGAGCAGGTTGGCAGAGCTTTGAAAAATTGATTGGGCTACTTTGTTTTCGGGTAAATATGAGTTGATATGAAATTGGGCCAATTTTTCATTGGGAGATAAACGAATTTCGAACACACTTTCATTCTTTACCCCACTGTTTCCACTGTAATTGCCCCGCAATCGGGTTTAATTTCATTTAAAAAAATAATTATTTGTTTGTGGTGTTATATTTTCCTTAAAATCGAGACACGGTTCGCATTCATTACCTTGTATATCCATTTATAAATTTGGGAAGCCCTAACATAGAAAAGCACATTTTTCCTTTGTCCGTTGGTCTTGTCAGTATTTATTTATTTATTTAATTATTAATTTATTTATTTATTTTACCCACACATCAAGTGGTAAGAGGGGTGCAAAACGATCGAATCATCCCAAATTCAATGAGATTTTGTGGGATTTGGAGGAAAGTGGATATATAAATCGTGACAAAGAAGCAAATCAAGAGCGAAAATGCATAAATCTGACAGAATTATCGATACACAATTAATTTCTGATTTTCTCAAGAACATTTTATTTAATTTCAATCTACCCCGGGGCGCTACTGGCCGGCGCATGCTTTATATTGGGTTTCTTTTTATTACGAGTTCAAGAGAATTTGCTGAAATCTTCAGCAAATGTCCAACACGATACGAGTCCCTACCAGTCTAGGGCTCTCTAAACATGGAAACCACAAAATGTCACTCGACAAAAAATTTGATGGTCATTACTTCTATACTTTACGAACATTTTCAGTAAAAATAACACCTTTTTGATAAGGGTTGCGCAGTAATGTACGTTTTCATACCTTCATTTCAAGCGTGGGACATTTTAATGGGACATTAAAAACTTGGGTGTCCAAAAGCGAAAAGAAATATGAAAGAAAACAGAAGTGCAACGGACATTTTCTTTACGAATAATACGATAGAGTTTATACAGATTACTCATACCTGTGCTTTCCACTCTACTTTATTCCAACTACACGTGTGTGGCAGAATGAGTGATGACTTAATGTCATATCATGTTTACAAACACATAAAGATCGCATACTGATGTGAAAAAAAAAACTGAAAAGTGTCGTTGTTGGTATTGAAGTATTACGTGTACAGGTATATTAGGATATCTCCACTTTATATCCCTCAACATACCACTGGTATCAGGGCTGCGTGGCCTTGTATATATTTGCGCTGTTATCACTGGATTTTAGGTCACTAACTTACACACTGAAGTCCTCCAGAACCGCCTCAGACGCTGCGACATTGCCTGGCACATCATGGAGGGAAAATATAGGCTGGAGGCGGCAGACTATGCCGTTATTGCTGGTCATTTTCTACTGACCGTTGGTGTGGGGATATGGGTGAGTGGACAGTCACTTTTGTATACACAAAAACGGGTATATTTAGTGATGTGACTCTATTGACCTACCGGTATTTGAGAAATAGATTCACAATAAGATAAGTAATTCTATCAGTATATGTATAGGATGTACCCTAGGACAATACATAATGTCTAATGACCTTAGAATACAATGGAATGAAATCAATTGAATATTGTTAATTAATCATTACCTTGACCGCGTCACCGTGAACGCGTGTGAAGATTCTTGAGCCTAGAAAGTATTTGACAAGGAGGAAGTAGGAAGTTGGGTGTTCATTAAGTATTTATTTTAATAGAAATTTTCACACTGAGTAACAAGCTGAAATATCTTTAATCGAAAAATTCCCTTTATGCCTAAATTTTTACTAGCATGTAGTTTCATACCTATGAACTTAAGTAGCAGCGCTGCAGTAGTGTCCTGTACAGTATATAGCTACATGGCTAAGACAAAAGGTAAATACGCCTACTGATAATACGCCCAGCGGAGTAAATTATTTTCATCTGGCAAAATAATACTCTACTTATCAGCTTATTATAAGGATCTTTATTATACAGTGACATTGCACATAATCTTAATTCACTATCAAATTATCTAAAAGTGAAATATTTCCAACAAAATAATTTTTATAAATTCTGTCGACCTTTTTTATAAGACAAAGGGTAAAAAGGTCTGCAGTAAATGCGTCAATTGTTATCAGTGATTGGTTGATTCCCTAAACATGCATTTTATCCTGATAACAAAAGGGAAAATTAACTGTACCCAAAGGAATTAATTTTTTTAACAAATGAGTGACATGCATCTGTATATCAGGACCAGCATGTCTCAGATAACCCATGTTAAAATCATTCAGAAATAGCCTAGCTTTCTTAAATAATAGTAAAATTAAATAAATAAATAAATAAATAAATAAATAAATAAATAAATAAATAAAAGATGAAGCAGAGGTGGCTGGAATGGTAGAGTGTGGTCAACGGTTTTAATGAATATGAAAAAAAAGCCCATTGAATGCTGTTTAGACAACTGGAAATGGAACATTGAACATTAAGGGAAATTAAGGCTTTTTATGAGAAGCCCACCCTCTTGCCTTTCATCATAAATCAAATTACCACAAGGTCACCGAGGAATTACAAACCTATATACATGTAGGGTTGCTATCAGGCGTCTTTGTGCAGAAATAAACACTAATATATATTATTATACACTTTGATTATAAAATAGTCGTTTGTGCATTTACAAACATGTCTATTCTTTTAACCTTTAAACATTATGCTTGCTTTCTGTTGACCCTCCCCTCCTGCCTCATTCGAGTGACGGGAGCCTTTCACAAACTTTATTAGATTGGATATTAAGTGAGTTTAAGGTCAATATGAGTTAGATAACATTAGGTATAAATGGTTGGGTAATTATAGTAAAGACTCATGAGTGTGGGGGGTGAAGGTGAGGTATATACGGGACGCAGGCATGACTGGCTTAAATAAGAAGAGCTACTAGTATGTAATGTTCATTTTAGCTGTCATTTCTTTTACGTGTAATGATAATCAAGTAAGCTTTCGTTCCACGGCACCATACGCTCAAACAATTTTAAAATAAGGAAAATAAGGTTCTAACAGACCGTAGTTACCGCGGCCCCCTACCATACGGTTTATTTAACTTAGTTTTTTTTTTTTTTCACATTTTATCATTTTTTTCATTGCGTGTTCATCCGCAGTAAAATACAACTCTGTGCTAGCAGAATACAAACCCTTACGGAAATTCCCTACAGGCCTGCTTAGTTAATGTCATATATTGCCTTATCTGAATCTATAAGACATTGGCCCCAAATCCTATGGGTCTTATAGGGCACATGTCCTAGATAGAAATCTTACATATACGACCGATAGAATCCCTCTTAAGTCCTGTAGGATTCCTATAGTGTTTCTATAGAGGCTAATAGGATATTTTCGCCAAGAACGCTACACCTAGCTGTATACATAAAATATCGTACAACACAAGCTGTGCAGTACACCTGAATACAATTTATCGGGTCTCTATAGTGGATCTAAATAATCGCCAATTCAAGTATTCAAGAATTAACCCACGAATCTGCATACACTACATGTATGAGCATAATCATGTTGAATACGCGACATTAATTTTCAACACTGGCTTGGCCAATATACCTGACTAGACTGACAATTGTGACAAGATACGTGTGTATTATTAATGACTGAGCTGTTATACCTGCATATGTATGTTAAGGGGTTATACAGTTATAATATAACTGTTTCGTCACTTCAAATTAAATGCTTACAACTGATAATCATTTCATCAAAAGAGAGTAACTACACTGTATATGTACAAACATGCGTGTGTTCTTTTTCTTAAGAATTCAACCTTTTTAAGGACACTGGGATAGTGACAGCTTGGAGAACGGGTTTTATGATTTGAAAGTCATCATCAGTTTCATGCACCACTTTCAACTGAGTCTTACATTTTGAAGCATAGTATTTTGTTAGATTGTGTTAGAGTGCTGGCAAAAATGCGGTCTCAAGCCCGATGAAACAAGGACTCAAGTCCAAGCTAAATATTTCTGGTTATATTATATTTTTCCGTTTTGTTTCTTCAGAATCTTCATATAATAGTTATATAGCAATATAATAGTTAATAATAACAATACCATTCTTTTCTTTGCAGTACTTCAATATTGTCTATGTTAATGAGGATATCACAGTATTTTGGCCCGTATTTGATACTTTAATGGAGTCAATTTGGATTTCATGATATTACATGTATTACTGATTTCTCGCTGTATATTTCAGTCCACAGTGAAGTCCAACAGAGGCACTGCTCGGGGCTACTTCCTGGCTGGAAGAGATATGTCATGGTGGCTGGTGGGTTTATAGTCTCTCTCTCTCTCTCTCTCTCTCTCTCTGTTTCTACCCCCCCCCCCTCTTGCTCTCCCAGCCTTGGATAAATATATCGAAATGTATCTAGCACGCTGTACGCACACTAATCATTCACAAACATACCTACACACACACACACACACACACACACACACACACACAGAACGCCAGCACCGTCGATCATGACTGGGGCCGATTGCCTTTAATTTGTAAAAAAATAAAATTAAAATACAGATTTGGACACAGTAATGTCACGCTTATTAACCGTAACCTGTATGAATTTAATGGGAGGCGGACTCTAGGTTTTGCGGAGCCTGAATTCTTTCACAATTCCCCATATTCTAATTTATACAATCATAAACTCATATCGCGTTTTCTGTTATTTTTTTCAAGGTTAATTGCGAGCTATTGAATATATTGTGAACAATCTTGGCTTTGTTTTCAGGTAGGCTTATCTCTGTACGTGAGTAATATAGGGAGCAGTAGTTTTATAGGTCTGGCAGGAGCAGCAAGTGCCAACGGTATAGCGGTGGTCTGCTACGAGTTGTCGGTAAGATTATAGGGGGTCTTTAGATTGGCAAGATTATTGTAGATCATTTATCATATGCGTTACAGTTTTTTTTTTAAAGTTATACCCACTTATTGCAGCTCAGATGTCGGGAATTGTCACTAGTTCTATTTTTATTATAAAATTAAACGTATCCATATTAATAAATAAATTATATCATATTCATATTAATGGAGAAATTAAGACTTTGATATTTCTCCTGAATAACTTCATTACTATGCTTACTTGTCCAGTAATATCCAATATCAGTAATATCTTATTAAAATACACCCTGACTGAGGCCACTAGAGTTTGAGTGCAAATCTATTGATTAATATCGTGGCTTATCAAAAACAAACATGCTATTTGAAAGACAACGCCTCCGTCTGTTTACGATGATCGTGTTGACAAAGCGGCTTAATGTCTCACCTATCTAATTCAGCTACCTACAATACCCTACACCTGATGTATTAATGCCTTAAATTTAGAATTTGATTGAAAAGGAAGTTTAATTAAATTCTATCAAAGTCTGCATGCTAGTGTGTGCCCTCATTGGGATGAAATGATATAACAATTGTGTTGTAAATCTAACAATGTGTTAAATCTTCATCCAGCAGAGGTGTTGAATGCATTTGTTTTTTCATTCGAAGGCGTATCTTTATAAGACCAAGGCGTTTCAAGGACTGCAAAGGAATTCTTAAAAATAACATCAGCCACTAGTTATGTGATGTCACTCAAAACTTTAGTTGCCCTTAAAGATAAAAAATGTTTTCAGACAGATAATCGTAATTGATGATCAGAGCCTAGATAAATATTCAATCAAGGAGGGGATGCCAAAAAAAAGATGAACACTTAATCGTTACATTTTTTATTGTTTTTTTAAGGAACAGGTAAACATGTACAACTATTTAGGTGGATCTAATACATATTTCCATCTTAAAACAAGGTAATTCTTGCACAAATAGGAGCAGTTAGTTTTGCTTTACACTTGTATGTGACCAATCTGGTCATTATTTTTAACTAATTTTCGTATAATATGTACATTTGAGGTGGGGTGTCTTTGCAATAGTGATGTCTAGTTCAAACGCACGACGATCTATTTACCCCTATGCTAAACTGGTTCTACTTCATTTATAATGACGGTGCTTTAAGAATAAAAGAGACACTTTTATTAGAATATTAGATATATTTTCATATTTTCTACTCCAGGGTTTGTTCTGTATTCTGCTCCTGGGGTTCTTCTTCGTCCCTGTATATATATCTGCTGGGGTAAGTGACGCTATGCTCTGGAACCATGACGAGACGTAATATGAACAAATTGTAAGGGCAACCTGAATTATTCTTATGTTATATATATTATTTCATAAAATTAATATTTTCATCTGATGACTTTTCTTTGCAAGATGACGCGATAATGTGGCTTGCTAATGATAAAGGCATTAAGACGATAAAACGTATTTTCTGTCCATTTTTTCCGATTGACTTTGAACCGCCGTTAAATGAACTTCGATTTTTATTTTTTTATTTATTTATTATTATTATTATTATTATTATTATTATTATATATATATATATATTTTTTTTTTGCGCCACCATATACCCATCTGTATTAAAAACACCTAAGTGTTTCGTTTCTCCTGTCACCTACCCAGGTCTATACCATGCCGGAGTATCTTCTGAAGCGGTTCGGCAGTCAGCGTCTGGAGGTCTATCTCGCCGTCCAGAACCTGCTCCTGTTCGCTTTCACCAAGCTGTCGGCGGAGATATTTGCGGGGACTGTGATCGTGAAGGAAGTCCTGGGCTGGGACCAGATGCTCTCAGTGTTGTTGCTTATGGTGGCAACTGCTTTGTACACTGTGTTAGGTAAATTTAGGGAGCAAAAGTGACAGTCAAATTGGGTGTTCAATGAACAGAACTGTACTGGTATTTTCGTCTTCGTTCACACCATCGGTTTAACATAAACACTTTTTAGTTATATAAATCTGTATTTGTCTTCCAAGGTGGTCTGGCGGCAGTCATTTACACGGATGCCTTGCAAACCTTTGTTTTGCTGATAGGAGCTGTGATCTTAGCCGTCATAGGTAAAACTGTTGGAAACACTTCTTTTTTATCTATTTTTTTATGTTTCCCTTAATAAATCTCGATTTCTATCATCTCAAGGAATAATTGTACTCAGATACTCACGTAAAAAGAATCAAAAGCACTGTATAATAATAGTCAAGATTGTGTGTGGTTATGAGTATAAACTTATCTCAATAAAAGACACTTGCTTCGGCCTGTACATGAGAAGAAGAAACCCCTCAAATCCCCAAATTATGATATTTCAGCTATGGTCCGTGTCGGCGGCTACGGTGCCATGGAGGCCGGTTACATGCTGTCTGTTCCCAATGCAACCAAATACCTGAATACTACCTGTGGCCTACCTGAGCCGGACGCCTTCCACATCCTGCGCGAGGCTACTGACCCCAACTACCCGTGGACAGGGGTGGTTTTTGGGGCCACGGTCTTGTCGTCATGGTACTTCTGTACTGACCAGGTAGGAAAAAAAAAAAATATATATATATATATATATATATAGAGAGAGAGAGAGAGAGAGAGAGAGAGAGAGAGAGAGAGAGAGGCAAAGTACGTTTGATTAGCATTAGAGACCTGAATACCAATACTGGCGCACTCTCCTATAGCACGAAAATTCATGCGTTAGCACTCCTATTGACGATTCTGAATATATGTACTGTCTGTGTTATCAGAATCGTCAATAGGAGTGCTAACTCATGCTAACTGTCCTACTGCCACCTCAAACATTCGTTTACTACATGTACCAGTAGTGCATCTGCTTTATATACATGTATCTGATTCCGCCAATGTACACTCACGCCTGACGTTATCTAACCATTTCATTTTAAAGACGCATGGCGTGTAATACTTTTTGTGACACACAATTTTTTTTTTATTTCACACTATTCAAGGCACAAACCTATTTCTCCAGGTGTTGGTCCAGAGGACCCTCTCAGCCAGGAACACCCTGCATGCCAAAGCGGGATCTATACTGGCAGCCTACCTCAAGGTACTGCCTCTGTTCCTGATGGTTTGGCCAGGGATGATCAGCAGGGTGCTATTCACAGGTCAGTCACTTTGACAACCTGATGTTCAGTGTCTTTTTAAAACTTGTTTCAATTTCCAACCAGCATTAACATGTACGCTGCTCCTCGGGTTCTGATAGACATTGAAACACGTGATGTATACTAATTTCGGATGGGCTCTTGTGGCTCTTACTAGTACGGTATGGTCTATTGATGTGAACTCCGGGTGCATGCCACGTTTTATGTATGTGATATAAATTAGGAATACCCTAGGCTACGTAAATGGAGTCTTAGGAGGACGGGACTCAATCCACGACCATTGGATACAAATTTGTATAGAGACTTGTATAAATCCCCATCCTTGTTTCAGACGACGTGGCCTGCTCCACTCCAGAAGAATGTAATCGTGTGTGTGGCAATGCCAATGGATGTGCTAATATAGCATACCCCAAACTAGTGCTGGAACTCATGCCCACAGGTTAGCTATATACTGTTTACTAGTTTATATACCTGACACAGAGTAGGAGCTTCTAAAACCAGGCAAGTCATTAGCGCCAATTCGCCTCCCACCGAAATTTGCAAACTATTCGGTTTAAGTAAGCACTATTGTGAACGCGGCTGTAGAGGGCTTGAGCATATTTTTTTACTTTTTGTTTGAAAAGGGGCGGTAACTTGCTAGACATATTTGATTTTATCCATAATTCCACGATCCCTAGCCTTTTAAGGTGGAGTGATAAACACTTCTAATGATAATTTAAACAGATCTTTATATCCTTCATTTTATATACTTCTGTGTTTATTTAAACGTAATTAATCATGCTGATTTCTTGCATATCATACTTTAAAGGTCTGAGAGGTTTGATGCTGGCCGCCATGTTGGCCGCTCTGATGAGTTCCTTGACGTCCATTTTTAACAGCGGTAGTACCGTGTTCACCATCAACGTCTGGAAGAAGATCAGGAAAAACGCATCAGAGTGGGAGCTGATGATAGTGGGGCGGTAGGTTGTCATCTTTATTCAATATTATAGCTTAATTAACGATATGAATATATATATTAATCTTCCGTTCAGTCCAGCACAAGTACATCAGCATCATTGAACGAAGGCAAAACTCTAAAATTATTGTAAAATTTTATAAAATGAAGTTAGAAAGAATATCATTTGTATGGCTACTGGTGTAGTACATCTTGAGAGTTGGTTTTCTTATGCATGTCAATTTATTTTATAGTTAAGTTATTTCTAAGACTAACATACATTATCTTTGAAAACGAACCAGTCAAAGAATCGTGTTTTTCTGTCTAGGGTATTTGTCCTTGTCTTCATTGGGTTCAGCGTTGTGTGGCTGCCCATTGTAGGGGGCGCTAAAGACGGTCAACTGTTCAACTACCTCCAGTCCATTGCCTCGTACCTGGCGCCACCTATACTAGCCTGCTTTGGTCTTGGTGTTGCTTGGAAAAGGATAAATGAACCGGTGAGCTAAAGCACTAGGTAGAAATAAATAAAGCAAATTGGAGTACACATACACATAATTGAGTACACATAATTTATGGATACTACATGTGCTAGTACAGTATAAATGAATGGTGATCACACCCCATACACAGTATAGTATTAACCATCCTTAAGATTCGCCCAACAGTTGTATTATGTTTTACTTAGAATATACATGTACTTTTTTCCTTTGCATAGTTTAATCAGCTGAAACAAAATTTTTATACAGGTATGTTCAATTTCAAGGTAAATTTTCTTTTCTTTTTCATAGGGTGCGTTTTGGGGAATGATGGTTGGGCTCGTCTTGGGTCTGGCCAGGATGATTGCTGATTTCGCCTTACCAGCGCCTCCTTGCGGTCTACCAGACAGTCGTCCTTGGATCTTGAAGGATTTTCATTACCTAAACTACGCCTTTGCCTTATTCATTGTTTGTATTATTGTGACAATAACCGTCAGTATGTTTACGAAGCCACAACCAGAGGAAGAGGTGAGTTTTTACTTTCAATGGTACTTTAAACTGGTTACTTGGTCTGGCCGGAATACATTCCATATACTTGCACTCGTACGTTAAACAAATGGATAAAGAAGGATGCAACATTGAGTAAAAGCAGTGATGCCCATTTGCTATCAAAATAAAGACTAAATTTTCACCAAATCCAAAATACGTCTAAGTGTGTGTAGCTGC